CTGGAGAAGATGGATGTGATGCCATGCAGGTACCTTCTGCTTACTCCCATTTATGTGGGGTGAAGCTCTACTCTGTTTGAGACTTTAAAGATTTAGCAATGAGAAGTCATGTGGGTATGGCCCTCAAAGATTTTAAAATTCTGAAATTAATTTGAAATAACAAATTAATCACAGTCTAAAATAATAAGGTAACAATCAGGGACAGAGATGAATTGCTCAGAGGGCACATTGTCAGTGGCCTTCAAGCCAATCAGAATTGGTATAAGAACTTATTTTTATAGGAACTAGTTGTTGGGAAATTTCAGTTCAAGTTCTAGTTTTGAACCAGCAAAGTGTGTTTTCATGGGTTTTGTACATTCAGTTTTTAATATTGACATGAGGAGACTAAGTTCACAGAAAAGTAAAAAATAAAATGCAATAATTCATGCAAAAAAGTAATAAAAACAAAAGTAACAGAAGTATAAGGTAGTATTTTCATGGTGAAAAATAGTGAACATTTTTTTCTATATATTTAAACTGTGATAGCTTTAAAAGTGTACTTTAAAATACTCAGTTGATTGTGGGGTCTATCCACAGTAGCTAGAAGAACCAGCTTTGTTATAGTATTTTGAACATGGTAATCTCTTCTTGGGTTCAGAATATGATAGAGACAAAAAATTTAAAAATATTCAAAAATAGAATTAGCAACATTTGCTTTATTTAGCAACACAGACTAATAAATGAATAAATTTAAAATATTTTCACCAAGATTAAAATTTGATATTGAGATATTTTCAAAGAAAAATAATAAACATTAAAATAATAATAAAAGCATTAAATTAATAAACATTAAATAATAAACATTACAAATAATAAACATTAAAAAATATAAAACAATGCTATATATGACAGGAAACCAGAGAGAAATAGCGACAACTCATCCAGCAGCTACAGATAGATTGGAAAGCTATGACACTTTTGCGCTGTGTAGAACTACACAGCTGGAAGGAAGGAAAACCTTGTGACTTTAGTAAGTAAAGGAGTACAGCTCAAGATCAAGCTCAGGGGTAAAAAGGTTTAGCAACACTCAGATAACAGGTTGGCCTCCTAATCTAAAAACTAAAAGAGCTAGCAGGACCCAAAATATACAAAGCACCCTGAGAAAGGGAAAAGGGAAGAACTGTCTAAAAAAAGAATGCAGAGGATATTTTTAATTGTGTATCAGGATTTAAAAGTGACAGTAGTCTTATCGCTCTGTTTAGTTTGATTATATTTTGTTCCGGTCTGTCTACTCATATTAGATTTGAGCACTCAGACAGCTAACCCAAAAATAGCAGGTTATACCATAGTAACTATCCTTAATTTCCTATTAACTTACACTGAAACCCTGTATTAGTTACATTGTCTTTCTATGACTGATCTTATTTGAAGCTAGTTTGTTAGACTGCTATTTAGCCTCGACTGATTTCATTCAAATTTGCTATGCTTGATAGTATCAAGTCTAAGAGTAGAGGCAACTACTCTGAAGATGACAAGATGACATTCTGGTTTTGATTATTAACTTTCAAGTTCTACAATATCTTCAAAGTTGTGTTTTTATTAAAATAGCTATGTAATGTTATGTTCACTTATATTATGCCTGATAATGTGGACAATTCTATTGAAAATAACAAGAGAAAGCATAGTAACTACTGTAGATCACCTAATATTGTGGTCCTATATGTCTTTTTTATTTCATGTTTTTCTAGGAATTTATTTTGTTGTCTTGTTTTGATCTGTTTTTCCCTGTAATACAGAAAGGATAGATATACATGTAGAGATTCACACATGGGAAGAATTTATAAACTACTTATGGGAACAGATTATATAATACATGAACAGATGCTCTGAAGAAGAGACACTAAGAAACCCAGTACTAATTCTGTAGCATTATGATATGAAATCTAGCAATACTATTACTCACTGTTCAGAGTGATATTAGTTTAGTCCCTTATGTTCAATTTCAGTTTATGGAAAGATAAAGATAGCTACTACGAAGAGACTGAGAAACATTATGGTAGACATTATTGACTTCCCCAAAATCAGGTCTTGAAGACCTAAAAAGCTTTCATCATCCTGTAATGATCTGATTACTTCTATAATGTTCAGTATATATTTAATGTGTGTGAAAATGGGGACAACTATTTGGAAGAAAACTAGAGAAAATAAGATAGACAGTGAAGATCTCCAGTGGACTTGCTTTGAAATCTATGTTTCTTTAAATTGTTTCCTTATAAACTGTTTTGTTATGTTTAATCTTACCCTCTTTAAGATAAAAAACAAGTGTGTAAGACTGATAACCACATTACTAAGTTCTTGTTGGATCGTTGAACAGAACTGTTTGCAGTCATTGTTTGAATATCACTTTGTATGCTTTAATTTTGTAACTGAAGCAACTATTTCTAAGATGACGGTATGTAACTTATCGACTGGTGATTTTTTACTGTTTATTTTTCTGAAATTCTGTATTGTTTATATCCTTTTTATCTGTTTTTTAAAATAAAAATAAAAACATTGAAATAATAAACATTACAAATAATAAACATTAAAAAATAATAAGCAATTAAAAATAAACACTAAACATAAAACCAATAAAACATTAAAAGTTCATGCTTACACACTTCAGAAATGTAAAGCAAAAGATTTGAGAGTGTTGGCATTTTAGTGTTCCATTTTATATATTGGCTCCACTCTTTTGATATTACATAATATAATTTGATCATTAAATAATGATCACCTGCAGTCATTCCAAAGTGTATGAACTCTGAATATGCTTTTGGGTATCTCAGATACCCTTATGTTTTCTTTTTTAGTGTAGGAACTTATGTAGCTGATGACAATAAAGGGTAAACAAGGTTAGAGATAGTGGGTAAGATGGGGTGCTTTCAATTAACCTTCCTGTTTTGTGGGCCAACATGGTAACACAATTTTTATAAATCCAGTTCCAGAATGTTCCCTTTGTTCCTTGGTCATTACCACTCTTTTTGAACCCAAGATGGTTTATGCACAGAATGAATGACATCCTTCGTGTCTATGATATTTGTCTGAGTGAAAAACCAAAGCCACTGCCAGGTCAAGGCCAGCAGACCCTCAGAGGTAGAATAGGTCATATAAGTGATGGCTGTCATTCCTCAACTGGGCTACTATACATGCTCTTTTTCATTCTTCACTATTTGCCTTTCTTCTGTTGAGGCCATCAATGAACAGAGTTCAGTTAACATTTTTTGTTATACCTGCTGTACAAACAGCCATGGTTCAGCAGCTGCCAGAGCTGAAACCTCTCTTGGAGCTTATCCACTATCTATTCATTGTCTATGCCCTTGCTTCAGCTTAACTGCTTTAAAGCCATGCCAGGTGAATACAACTAAATTGTAATGTTAAAGATATTTTACTAAGAAAAAGTTTTTAATGACTGAAAGTAGAACTACTGAAATGCTCACAGTTTTAAAAGCTTTCTTATGCCTAACTTAGATTTCTCAGGTTGCAATTTAAGTTAAATTAGGTGGGAGAAAGGAAAAGGATGCAGAAACCTCAGAGAGAGAGGGAGAGGGAGAGGGAGAGGGAGAGGGAGAGGGAGAGAGAGAGAGAGAGATAGAGAGAGAGAGAGAGAAGAGGACAAAGAAGGGAGAGGGGAGAGAGAGGAGAAAAAGTTCAATAATGTCAAAATTCTTTACTGAGCACAGCTAATCCCAATATCATCAAATGTTTATACTATAAATGTCACTATCATTTTTGAGAAAAAAATCCGTGCAAACCTTGGGTTTCTTGGTGGGAACAACTATTGATATAGGTGTGTTGGGCAATTTTGTTTGCCAGTGCAAGAAAATCCAAGTGAGAAATTCATTGTCTAGAAGCCCAGACACAGGCCAGCTTTTCAGTCATCTTCATTCATTCATTCTGGCTTCATTTCTCTGGTGCCCCTTAGAGCTAGCTCTTGTGTCTCTTCAAGAGATAGCTCCAGGCATCCTCAGGCTTGCACATGTTGCAGAGCCATAGTCCATAAACAACATCATCTGGAGAAAGAGAAAATGTCTGAAAAGTAAGGTGGAAATCCCTTGTATACCCATGACTCACTGCCAAAAATTTCACCTGCCCCGTCAGTAACACTAGGGATAGATTTGACCATGAGCTCAAATTCTGTTTGGAAGATCTTAGTGGGCGTGCATGTTAGATAGGCCATTAGCATTATCCATCTAATTTCTTTCTACTGGATTTTGCTGAGGGTGGGGTACCATGTTTGACACATTCAGTCTTTTATTTTTTAGTATCTAACATGGGTGCTGGTACATAGTGGGTGTGCAACAAATATCACTGATTAAATAAATTGAGAAATGAAAACTAGAAAGGAGGCAAGTCTGATCTGTGTTTGTCTTATATTTTTTTAAAAAGTCAGAATAATCTTTGTTCAATTTCTTGGAATTCAAAAGGAAAGCATTAGTAAAAGCATCTTCCCTGGGAAGTACAGAAGAAGATCCAGTAATGTAATCCAGAATCAAATTACATAAGATTTAATAGACTAAACATTAGTCATTTAAATTGTATTTGGCATAAATAGACCTAAATATATTTATTAATAAACAAGTTGGATCCTGAAATAAAATGAGTTTCTGAATTTCACACCATGGAGGTTTCCAGATTTTCATCTTCTATTAATAGATTTAGAATTATTTTCTTTGAAGACTGAGGAGTGAACTCTTGGGTTGTAGATTTGCAGGTATTTATTTCAAATTTTATGACTACTGGGATTTAAAAACCACAGTATTCCACAGAAACTCAACAGAAGCAAGCAGCCCCAGTTTTTAGGAACTGTTTCCAGGGGATGCAAATTTTCTTCTGCTTTTCTCACAGTTTCCCTAGGAAAATATCAAGGTTACAAATTACCAGCATTAGATGACTGTGAGTAGGAGGGAGCAGGATGTTAATGAATGGGTTGTGGCAGCTTTTAGATCTTAATGTACGGTTCTACTGCTGCTATTTTTCAGGGTTGTATCCTACTTCATTGCACCGGTGAGATCATGAGTTTCCCTGCCAAACTCTTTACAATGTAAACAGTGCAGCAAGTAGGTGTCTTTGGGAGGAGCCCTCTATCTTTCACACTTCAGGACTGCCTCATCCTGATTCAAAAGAAAACAAACAAGCCTGACCTCCACCTCACTGTACACCTGTGAAAGGTGAGTGCTGTTTTATGGAGGTGAGGCATCATTGTGCCATACCATTTTAATTCCCTGTATGCATTTAAACATTGTTTTACAATACAGGAATTCCTTAGGAAACTAATTCTTTATTTCTTCAGATCTGTTTTATTAGTACATGATAATTATGCAGCTTCATGGGTTTCACTTCGGGCAGATTCATATATACACATAGATTAATCATTCCCTCATTGTCTCCCCATTCCTCATCATCTTTCTTCATAGTTGTACAGTTGAGGGCGATTTCACTGTATATAATGTATTTTGATCATATTCACCCCCCAGTACTCAGACTTATACCTTCTTATTCTCTCCCTCTTATTTTCTTTTTTATTTTAAGGAACAACATAAAACAGAATTTTATAATAAGATGATAGGACAATAACAATAGTTAATACATCACATGTTATTACCTTTAAAGTAGTTACTTGGTACAAGATATGGGTATAAAAATTTCTACAATTTTTTTATGTAAAGTAAGGAACCTTTGTTTTCAGCAAACTAAAAGACACTACTAGGATAGCTACCTTGAATTTTTTTCTTTTCCCTTCTTTCCTTTCCCCGTTCCCTCATCCTCATTCCTTTATCCTTACAATTTCTTTCCATTTCACAATATCTAACATACACTTCAGACCTTATTTACTTTTTCAGTTTCTGACACCAGGGAGACAATACAGTGTTTACACATGTGAGTCTGATTTATTTCACTAATGAGTATAGTCTCAAGTTGCGCTCATTTATACTATAAAAGTCTCAAGTTTATCCTTCTTTATTGCTGAGTAGTATCCCATTGTATAAAATTATTACATCTTTTTTATACATTCCTCAGTTGATGGACATTTGGTTTGTTTCCAAGATTTAGCCATTACCAATTGTGTTCCTATAAACATGAATTCACATATATTGCTGTGGTATGATGTTTTTATTCTTCTGGTAAAATGTTCAGAAGAGCTGGGTCAAATGGGACCTCTAATCTTAGCTTTCTGAGGATTCTCCACACTGTGGAGATTGCACCACTCACAACAGTGGAGAAGGGTTCCTTTTTAACGTAGCACTGCCAGCATTTATTATTGGTTAATTTCTTGATAATAGCCATTCTTTCTGGAGTAAGATGGAATCTCAGTGTTGTTTTAATTTGCATCTCTTGAATGACTAATGACGCTGAACATTTTTTCATATATTTATTTGTCATTTGTATTTCTTCATTTGAGAAATGTGTATTCATTTGAGATGCCCATTTTCAGACTGAATCTTTGAATTTGGGGTTCTGATTTTTTTCAGTTCTTTATGTGTTCTAGGTATAAGTCCTTTGTCTGAGGGACAGTTGGCTAAAATTTTTTCCACTCCATGGGTTGCCTAGTCACTCTGTGGTGATTTATTCAATGTGTGAAAGCTTTTTAATAAGATGAGTTTCCTGTTGTTGATTCTTTGAAGTATTTCCTGTGCAGTTTGGCTTTGTTCAGAAACTCTCTGCCTTCACCTATGTCTTCAAGATTTCTACCTATGTGCTCTTCCAGAAGTTTGAGTGGTTTTGTTTCAATATTTAGATCTTTGATCCATTTTGATTTTAGTTTAATGTATAGTGATAGACATGGGTCTAGTATTAGTCTTCAGCACATAGAGAGCCAGTTTTTCCAGCACCACTCATTAAAGAGACTCTTTCCACTGAACATGTTTGGCACCGTTGTCAAAGATAAAGTGGCTGAGCGTGTTTGTAGTTGCGTCTGCATCTTCTAATCTGTTGCACTGATCCTCAGGTCTGCTTTTTTTTTCTTTTCTTTCTTTTTGCTAGTACCATGCTGATTTTATCACTGTACCTTTGTGGTATAATTTCAAGTTAAGGATTGTTATGCCTCCTGCTTTGCCTTTGTTACCCAGAATTAGTTTTGCTATTCTAGGTCTCTTCTGGTTCCAAATGAATTTTAAGAATATTTTCTCTAGTTTTGTGAGGTATGCTAAAGATATTTTGATTGGTATTGCATTAAAGTTGCATAACAGTTTTGGAAGGACAGTCATATTCACTATGGTTTTCCTATTCATGAGCAAGGGTTATATTTCCATTTTCTGATATCCTCTTCAATGTTCTTTTTCAGAGTACTGTAATTTTCAATGTGTATGTCTTTTACTTCCTCTGTTAGACTGATTCCTAAGTATTTCATTTTGGGGGCTGGTATTGTGAGATACATGGTTTCCCTAATTTCTCTGTCAATTAGTTCATTGTTTGTGTACAGGAATTATATTGATTTTTGAGTGTTGACTTTTTATCCAATTATGCTACTGAATTTGGTTATTAAATCTAGATGTTTTTTGGTGAAGTTTTTATGGTCTTCTATGTAAAGTTGATATCATCTGTGAATAATGATAGTTTAGTTTTTCCCCTATTATTATTCTTTTTATTCTTTCTCTCTTGTCTAATTGCTTTGGTTAATGTTTCCAGAATTATATTGACTAGGAGTTGTGATAGTGGACATTCTTTTCTTGTTCCTGATTTTAGAGTGCAAGTTTTCAGTTTTTTTCCATTTCCTATGGTGTTGGCTGTTGGTTTGTTATTGATGGCTCTTATTAGATTGAGATAAAGAGCATCTATTCCAATTTTCTGTAGAGTTCTTTTCATGAATGAGTGTTGGGCTTCATAAAAAACATTTTCTGTGTCTATTGAGATAATTGTGTGATTTTTGTGTTTGGCTTTGTTGATATGGTGTATTTTATTTATTTATTTGCATATATTGAATCATCTCTGCATTCCTGGGATAAATCCCACTTGGTCATGGTGTATAATCTTCTTGATGATTTGTTGCATTCTATTTGCTACTATTTTAGTGAAAAGTTTTGTATTTACGTTCACTAGAGAGATTATCCTGTAGTTTTCTTTTTTTGGTTGGGTTTTTCACTGGTTTTGGTATCAGGGTAATACTTGCCTTCAGGAATCAGCTAGGGATAATTACTTCCCTTTCAATTTTATTAAAGAGTTTATTGTTATCTTTAAATCTTCTCTAAATTTCTTATAGAATTCAACGGTGGATCCATCAGGACTGTGACTTTTTTTGTTGGTAAATTTTTAATTACATTTTTAATTTCATTGACTGATACTGGGCTATTCAGAATTTTTATATCTTCTTAATTCAACATTGATAATTCATATATACCTAGAAAGCTGTCCTTTTTTATGTGTTTTCCATCCTATAGGAGTAAAGATTTAAGTAACTATTGATGAGCTTCTGTATTTCCACAGGATCTGTAGTAATTTCATCTTTTTATTCCTCAGTGCAGGAATTTGAGGCTTTTTTTCCCTTTTTTGATAAGATTGGCTAATGGTTTTTCAATTTTATTTATTTTTTCAAAGCATCAATTCTTTATTTCATTAATTCTCTGTATTGTTTTCTTAGTCTCAACTGGGTTAATTTCTGCTCTGATCTTTATAATTTCCTCCCTCATATGGGCAAGGGTTATATTTACATTTTCTGATATCCTCGTCATGTTTTGTGTTTTGTGTTTGATTTGCTCTTCTTTTTCTAGAAGCCTCAGGTGCAATATTTTCTTAAAGTTTGTGCTCATTCTGTTTTTCTGATATGAGAATATATCACTATAAATTTTACTCTTTGAACTGCTTTTTCATTGTGTTTCTCAGATTCCAATATGTTGTATCTGTATTTTCATTTAACTGTAGATATTGTTGAATTTCTCCTTTAATTTCATTTGCAATCCATTAGTTGGTCAGGAGAATGTTATTTGATTTCCATATGTTTATGGAGTTTTGTAGTTTACTTTGCCATTAATTTCCAATTTCATGGCACTATGGTCAGATAATATGCATGAGATAATTTGAATTCCTTTGCATTTACTTAAGCATTTTTTGTGGGCTAGTAAATGGTTTATTTTAATTTTTTTAAAGTTTTATTTTAAAGAGAATGAAACCAAGGAAGATAAAACAGAATAAAGCCAATGAAAACAAGATTGTAAGTGATACAGGATTTTAAAACAAGGTAACAGGAAATCAACAGTTGTTACCATAATGTGACTTATTTTCTTCAAAATAGCTGCTCATACATTCAGGCATAGTAAAATCAAACAAAGCAGAAACAGAATAGAACCAATAAAAATCAAAATAATGAATACAATAAAGGACTTCATAATAGGATAATAGTAAATCAAAAATGGCTATCATAATATACATTATTATCTATGAAATAGCTGCCCATGCCATCAGATACAACAAAATCAAACAGGATAAAACAAAATAAAACCCAACCAAACAAAACAATGAGAATGATACAGGATTTCAAAACAAGCTAATAGGAAATTAACAATGGCCACCACTTTCAGAAGGAGATTTCCCATAGGTTCTACATTGTGTATTGTTATCCTCTGAATAGATGATCAGACTACCAGCTTTAGGCCTGCCAATCAGCAAAACACTGAACACTACGAGCATTAAATTGTACTTAGCTATCATTGCAACCTGTGTTTTTCTGGATCAACTGGGCTGCTTATGAGGGTTGGGGGGAGGAACGCTGGCTCTTCTTTTTTCCCAGCCTGTCCACTGGGAGAGCCTAGCATTTGGCTCTCCCCCAGTCATCCCACACAAGATGCCAATTCACAGGAGGTCTTAGTTTCTCATTGACTTTTTGCTGTCCTTGCCTGAAGTCTGTGAATGGCACAGACTCACAGGAGAGGGCTGGAATATATAGTCTGTTTTAGAGAATGTCCCATGTGCAACTGAGAAGAATGTATATTTCCATGGGTGGAACATTCTGTAAACATCTACTAAGTCCATCTGTTCACAGGATTGGCTCAGTTTTGATATTTCTTTGCTTATTTTTTGTATAGTTGATTTATGTCTTTGTGACAATGAGCTATTAAGGTTCTCTATTACAATTGTGATATTGCTTATTTTATTTTTCATGTCTGTTAATATTTGACTTAAATAGCTGAATGCTCCCGTATTTGGTGTATACATATTAATAATTATTATCTCTTCC